AACCAAATCCATCCCTGGATGTTTCTAACCTTTTTGCTCATGATTCTGTCTCAAAGGCTCGCTAGAGAGCCTTACAAATGGAACAATTTTTTCAAGGAGTGGTGGTGTGAGTGGAGGGACAGGGGCAGTGGGCAGCATCTGGCCACATCGGGTTCCACAGTAGCAACACCACCTGCTGCTTCAGTGCCAATCGGCTATGCAATAGTGGCAGCGACACGATTTGTAATGACCGAACCCTTGTGCCCAAGCCTTTAGCTTACGTACTATTTGCTTTGGGAAAATTTAAGTCTATCTTATCTCTCACGAGTTTCTGTTGCATACCCAGAATTCGGATGGGTGAAAAGTCACATCTTTATTTGAGCGGCTAGAGAAAATCAAAAGGTCAAGTGTTGGAGACGAGGGTCCATGTGACTTGCTTAATGGACTTCAAGGCTTGAATTTGACTTTGATATGTTCATCTCGTATTTGTACTTGCCTTTGGACTTTTTTTTTTATTTGAAGAAAACTTTAATATTCAGGATTTGACTTGAACTTGATTGATTTGAAGAAAAAAAAAATTTACATGAAATTTCCAGAACATAGATTTGAGAGATTTTTACTCTCCTTCCTCTTGACCTATGGATTTTCTCTTGAACTTCTTTTTCTTGGACTTGTAATTTTCTCATGCACTTCAACTTTTGATTTCTCTTGGACCTTAGGTCCTATATATAGAGAAATTTGGTAAGCATAATTTGAAATTATTTTATTTATATTTAATGGATTTTAAAAAGTAAGATGTGCGTTTTTATGTAGGATGGGTTTTAGTAGACTTTGGTTTTAATAGACTGACAGACTAATTATTCAAAATTGACCCCCTTGATTTTTATTTATTTTTACTAATTTAATATCTACAGCCATAGAATCGTTACCAGTTTCCATTGAGACCTTGTTGTCTCATCCTCTTTCCATCTTCGTTGGCCTAAACCAATCCCGTTTCATCACCTTCCAAGCGTACATCAGTAACACGAAAGCACAGTGCACACCTCTGCATATGATTATAAATATAATAAGATGAGGGTTCTAATGGATTTTGTTCGTTTTCATTTACAAGAATGTTTGTGCAATACATGGTTAGGAGATCTGTTCGAAGAAGATAATTGTAAAAACTATAGGATAAAAATAGAGATAGGATCCTCAGAGATAGGATGTAATCTGAATATAGTACAAAAAGTTGTGTACTTCAGTCTCCCTCTACACATCTGTATATGAAAAGAGGATTGTCTATGAACTTCTTGTTTAAAGAAAGAAAATGAAAACTTTCCATGCATATAAATTATTCTTTAACTTCTGCAATATTTTCTATCTAGTATTGTTCTTTGTCTTCTAAAAGATTGCTTGTGTAATATATTGGGAGGTGATCAATTAAAGAAGATGGGCGTAGAAAAAATAGAACAAAAAACTAAAGATATAGGACAGAAAAAGCCCTTAATATTTGCCATTTTAATTGGAAGAATGAACACATCCAAATGAGATTACCCATGCTTAGACACATGAAAACAACTTCGCCACCAAGTGTTTTAGCAATGGTAAAACCAGAGTGTGAAACCTCTGTCGATGAAGTATTCTCTCTTTTCATTTTTCTCATTATAGGTTGAAGAGTTATAACCGTGTAAGGAGCTACATATAGGATGGGAAGAGCTCAAAAGAAAAAAACATAGTAGAATCATAGCATCAGGGTGAACATTTGTCCAATACAAATGTAATAAGACCGTTGGTAATGAAAGCATCATTGGTGGCAAAGGGTTGCCCTGGAGCGGCTGGGTGGTGGCAGCAAATCAAGTTTAATCGGATGCATGCTGGTAAGCCAAAAACTGAATCGTGGGAAAAAAAAGAAAAAAGAAAAAAAGAAAACCTTTTGTGCCATTTTTTTCCCGTACGCTTACTCGAAAACATTACTTCAGCAGCTTCAAAATTTGAATCAAGGTCTCGAATGGTCAAAGAATATACAACAGATTTTTCCAATTTATTGGCAAGATATGGTACTTCTGAAAAAAATGATTAGGTGGTGGCTAGGCATATTGGTGGTCTCTGTGTGCAGTACCTCGATGTTTTCAGGGACGGATCCATGATTGAATTCAAGATCGAGATATAAAATTTCAAATCGGGCTGCTACGTGGAAAAAAAATTTACACATAAAAAAACTGATTTTTTACCCAAAAAAATACCTTTAGAAAAAATTTGTTGGGCCTGAGAGGGGGGGGGGCTACAGCCCCGCCCCCCCCCCTCCCAAATCCGTCCCTAAAAAAGAGTAAGGCCAACAAGGTCAGCTAACAATCATACAGTTTGATTAGATGTGTTTATGCCATGTTTAGTATACTAGAGAATTGATGGTATAAAGTTAAACAACAAAAAGAACAAAAAACTTGTACGCTGTAATGTATCAAACGTGATCTTAACGGTTTAACATTAAACAATTTTGGCTCCTATAGAAACTGAACGACAAGAAGAGGCTGGCCACCAGCGGTGCCAACTTTGCTCGGGCGTTCACAGATCAATTTAGCACTTGCAAGTTCCCCGAAAACTTCACTGGGTGCCAAGATCTTGCCAAACAAAAGATTTCATCTTATTCTTACAGAATAAGAAACCCATCAAGCCCAACGGATACACGGCATCAGTAACAAATCTGTGGTGTAACCCATTTTCATCAGCAGCTATCCATCTAAGTCCAGATATGCAAAAGGCAATTTCTGATACACAAGACTAGCTATCTACTACAATTATAACAGAATAATGTGATGTGTAATTTTTAAGATGAGTAGGTTTTTGCTTTGAACCTAGATTTTGTTGATTAATTAGTGGACATAACGCCTTGGACTGTCAATTACTTTTAAACAAATATTATACAAATCACATGATAATTCCTATGAACAGAGTTCGTTGTTACGTTTGTGTCCATTCTGACTTTGGACACCATCTGAATTCATGAGTTTTATTTTATTTTTATTTTTATTTTTATTTTTTTATTTTAATTTTTAGAGAATTCAGTGTATAGAATTGTCATAGAAATGGCTGCTTCTCACTCACAAATGTCTCATTGAACTTAGATATTGGGATCTCTAATTTGTTAAATTGAGTAGTTTTTTTGATGACTTTTAACTAACATACAGGCTTTAGCACATTCTGATTGATGAACTTTCTACAAGCTCTCTAGTCAGGCCTTTAGTAAGCAGATCCTCATATATTATCTCTTGACTTAACGCTATTACCATAGAAAGCATATAATATTGCCAGTCTTTGATGCTCATGTCTTAGACTTGCCATTATCTATCGCATTTTGGCCTTCCAAGTTGTAGCTAGCTATCAAAATTAATTCTTCTACAAGGCACAAAATGTTTACCAACTAATAAATCCTTATTAATCGGAATTCGAAGCCACGTGCTTCTTTCTATACTTATTTAAAGCTACAATTTTTTATTCAATCATTGATCTTCCAGTACACAAGATGCGAAGAGGATTTCCGCGAAACCACCACCCTATTAAAAGTAAAACATACTAGTTGATTTTGAATATAAATACTATATAAATCCAGATTTCGGCGTCGTCCCCATACCCTTTACTTTAATAGGGTATTAAGCAACGTGCAATTAACAATCTAGAAAATTCAACAAATCACAATACTCTGCCTATGGTACTTGGACTAAGATTTCTCATAGATCAACTTACGAGGGTGTCCTCAATTCAAAGTTTAATAGATTTCTTAATATTTATAAATTTCCATGGATTGTATGGTATTTATAGAATTTAACAGATTTCATAAGATTTGAATGAATTTTTATTTTGTAGATTTCAATAGATTTTCATGGATTTTATAGATTTTAGTGGATTTAACTAAAATTTCTACAATTTTTTTATCTGCTCGAATCATGGCTTATTCAAAATCCAGACACAATAGGATTCAAGAAAAATGGAGAGTTCATCTTTTCAAGATTATCACGACTTTACGTTTAGTTCATAAATATTATGTAATGAATCATTACAAATTTTTGAAAAAAATGGTTTTACCCACATATTCAACAAAACGTGAGAGAGGGAGAAGAAAAAAATCAGCAGTATCTTTTCAATAAGAAAAAATCAGAATTGTCGAAAATTAGAGGGAGAAGAAGAAAAATTATTCACATTGGAGAGGGGGGAGGGAGAGAGGGAGAGGGAGAGAGAGATATGTAGAGAGATGAGAAAAGTTGTGAAATTTTTAGGTTTGAGATAAAATTGTTATAGATTTTTGGTATTTATATTTATGGCTTGAAATCTTTCAAAATCTATCAAAATCTATCTAATTAATAAAATCCTTTTAAATCAATTAGTTATTGAGGACACCTAAATTTCTTAAGCACCTATTAAATCCTATATTGAGGACACCTAAATTTATAAGCATTTCTAAAAATCCAGATTGAGGACACCTACATTTTAATGAATTAAATTTTAATCTAAATTGAGGACACCTCAATTTATATGGAGTTTTAAAATCCATCAAACTCTAGATTGAGGGCACCCCCCTTAGTTTATCTATTGAAACGTTGATAATAGCATATAAAAAAACGGCATAATCATTTGGAGTGATTTTAACATAAACCCATATGTCACACGCAGCAATCTTAGAAGTCTACTGCCATTGACAACAATATTGTCATGTCATTTCCTTTTCCAAAAAGGTCAATCAATTTTTCGATAAATGAGTAACAAAAGGTATGCAATACTATTATTGGCAAAGTTGACGACGATACTATTTCAACGTTTACGAACCGTCAATCAACTTTATAATTTATCCTCACACTTATCGACTGAGAAACAGTAACTTGCAAAAGCAGAACCATGAACAACACCTGTTCACAGGTTTCTTGAAATGCATTCCGAGGTTCTGGACCTCGAGTAGGCTAGGATGGCCAAACACTTTGATCATCCCCTTTCCAGAACCTCGTACCAATCCCAACGTTCCGTGCCCATCAATATTCTTTGATACATTGTTTAGAAAATCTTTCCACCTTCTGAAATGGATCGAACCCATTAACACTAAATTTTTAAAATGTTACAAAAACACACACATAAAAATAACATGGCCATACCGGCCCCAGTTATTATAGTCTAGACATAAGCAAGTTGTCCAAGCTATATCCTGTGTAGAATTAGGTGAGCCCCGTGCTCAGGTTGAAGAGTTACAACCGTATGAGGAGCATGAGTATAGGATGGTGAGAGCTCGAAAGAGAAGTGTTGTAGAATCATGGCCATCACCATTTTTGCCTCTATTATGGCGAAGGTTTGTCCAATACATATCCGAGGTCCCCATCCAAATGGAAAATATAAGCCTTGTTTCTTCATTGCTTTTGACACTCCTTCACTAAATCTCTCTGGTTTGAACTCCATTGCATCCTCTCCCCAGATTTCGAGGTCATGATGTAATAAGATTGTTTGTAGTAAAAGCTGTGTCCCAGCTGGGAGCAATAGTTTCCCCAATCTTGTTTCTTCGTGAACTCTTCGACGAAGAGCGACTAGTGGTGGATATAGTCGTAGGACCTCATATAAAATCATGGTAACCTGCAATGAAGATCTCATAAGAGTTATAAAGCCACGTAAATTGATTTGGCTAACATTTCTGAGTTCAAAATCTAGACATTCGTATATAGTGGGCCAACAATCTGCAAATTCTAATCTTTATTTTTTGGTTCACCTATTCATTTTCAAGAGCATAATAAAATGCTTACGATTTTCAGGTGACTTAACCCATCAAAATCTGGCTTTTTACTACCAAATACTTGCAAGACCTCTTCTCTAGCACGTATCTGCCAGTTTGAATGTGTACTCAATAGAACCAACGTCCATGCTAGCAATGCAGAAGTTGTCTCCTGTCCAGCAAAATAGAACAGCTTGCATTCTTCTATGACCTCATCTATACTCATTCCAAAACTCTTGTTTCCACGTTGTTTGATTTCTTCTAAATTGGATTCCAACAATATGCCCAGCAAATCATCATTACGTGCTCCGCCCACTTCCATTGCCTTCAGTCTTCTATTTATAATATCTCTGATTGATGCTTGAACTTCCTTTCCAATTTCCTTCATTCTTTTGTTCTTCTTAGTCGGCACAAACCTATATGCAGGGTATGTATCACTTCACAGGACAAGTCAAGAACCACTCAATCCCAACTAAACAGATGCAAGTGGTTCTTCTGACATCATCTTTGGCGAGAAAAAATGAGGATTGGAAATTAAGTACTAATCTCATAAGGTAGAACCACATATTTCTTGGATGCTAGTCAGAAACATATTTCGTTACCTCCATCCAGGAATATAGATCGACTGGGCAGCCTCAGTGAAGTGTTCAGCCTGTTCTCTCTGAAGTTCAAATATCCTTTTTCCTTCTTGGTAGCTACTACCAAATGACGTTCTTGATATTGCATCACTAGTTAAATTTCGTAGATAAGGCCACACATCCAATTCGCCTGATCCTCCAGGAGACAGACTCTGTTCCCATTTGCTCAAAATATCATCAGAACTCAAATAAAAAGCTGGAATCATAAGCTGTAGAAAGCAAGGATGAAGAGAAATCTCATCAGCGATAAGTTATCTTTTTAGAATGAATCTTTTTTTCTTAAGAAAATGCCAAAACAAATAAATTTTCTGTTTCATGTCTAGTTAGCTTGTTAATATGTTCCAGAGAAATCTTGAAATTAAGCCCTTGTTTGGCCCTCATTTTCTAGAACTCCTTTTTTTCCAAACTCATTTTCAACCACACATTCTTTCAATAAAATTATTTTACACGTGGATTCATAACTTTCCCTACTTTTTAACCACACATCCTCCAAAAAAATCAACATTCGAAAATTCTGTTCTTCAAAAATCTCTTCCAATCAGGGTTTAAGTAAATTTCACATTTGAGCTAGAGAAAACCTTCAACTTCTCCAAATAGAAAGCAGGGTTGATAATTTTTCTGTGTTTGTCCCATTTATCTGCATCATAGCTCACTAATCCTTGTGCAAGCAGTTTGGTCAGTGGATTTATGTTTTTTGCTTTCTGGTATATATAATTTTTAGTTAGGACATCCTTTACAAGTTCCGGATCCGTGACTATAACCGATGATCTTGGCCCAAGCCATATGAAGGAATTGGTACCTGCAAGTAATGGAACAAGGATAAAATAAAATCAGGTTTCTCACAAGAGATTAGTACATTTAGGGAAAATGGTATTTGGATACAAATTATAATGTGTGCACCTAATGGACAGAAAATAAAAGGATCTAATTTTATAATTACAACACTTCAGATGGTAGTCAATATTTTTCCCTTTAACATGAAATATTAAAAATATATGGACATACAAAATCCAAAATCTTGATGTAGAATCTTGGACCATTCTAAGTATTACTCCTAATTCAGTTGTCAGTAATTAATTGAGGCAACCATATACTAATGAATCTATATATCATAACAAAACATAAAAAAAAATTAAAAAAAAAATCCTCTGTGCCTTTGATATAACTACTTTTGGATGTACGATGACGTCTTTGAACGAACAAAATATGTATCCAAACATTATTGAAGTTACATTCATCTTACAATAGTAACTCTTACAATTTTTCTATCATTTTGTGGTGCAATCTTCGTATATATTTCTGGAGTGCAGACAAGTGGAACTGTGAGAAACAATTCCAAGTTATGCGCAGATTAATATTGGACTGATATGCTTATTGTGGTCAATCAAATTGCTGATGGCAGCAAAGACAGACAAAAAAACATGAATATACATGTGTGTGGATGTGTTAGATGAGTACGTATGTGTTTGAACACAACTTTTGAGCATCCCAATCATTCCATGCATTTATTTTGTTCTAATGGCTATTCAATCCAGTTTTTAAGCTGTTCTATGTGAAGTCTTGGAGAAATTGCATCTATCAATTTGTTGAACAAGGCTTTTGGAAAATTATCAACACAAATTTCTTTGGATTAGTATTAACCACTCTGTTTCTGTCTTGTCAATGATTGGCAACTCAAGAAAGGACAAGATCAATCACAAAAGAAATGGTTCTATCTTTCCATATTCAAGTATAGATAGGAGAACAAATAAGTAGATAACAAAGATGGAGATAAATCAAAAAGTAAAACCACCGTTCTGAAAAGGTCTCATACTATTATCCTTTTGATGGCTGAAGAAAGACATAATATGAATACAACCCTGATAAGCCTTGAAGCTCCATCTTTAATTGCCACAGTAGCTCCCTTTGGCTTTGGTATTGATAAAACAAGGTCCAAGAGTGAGAAACTTCAATTTTGAGCCGTTACATGCTACACTCAAAAAGCAAATTGTACCCTGAAGGGAAACTCACAAGCCAAAAGGCTTCTACATTTTTATAATATAAAATATTCATTTATACCTTTCTTGTCTACTTGGAGTTCATCATTTGAAGAACTATAGAATAAAAAACAGTTAAACCTGACCTATGAAAGTTAAAGGTCTATTTTTATCTTTTGATACAATCCGTCAAAAGGCCCTAGCCTAGTGGAAAATTAGCTTAATCGACCTTGTTGGGTACAAAAAGTAAAATAAAATTACAACCCTTCAAATAAAGAAACAAATTCGGTGATAGAATTTCCGCCAAAATGGGCTAAATTTCTTTCTTTTCTATAGGGAAAATGATCGAGAATTTTATACAAATATATACGAGGCAATAACAAGAATCTAAAATTTAACAAAATATACCATATTCCTGTAGTGTTTTGAGGATTAAGGGAATGACTCTTGGCTTGATATCATCTGAAAGATTGATTGGTTTTGAATTGGCTTTTTGTATCATACTTGTCAAATCTTTCAAATCACCACAGAGGAATCTGTAGGAGTTTCCTTTGAGACCTTGCTTTCTCAGCAACTTTTCCATCTTCTTTGGCGTAAACCAAACCCAATTCAGCAACCTCCATGTGTATATCAGTAACACAAAAGCACAACACAGACCAATTGAGTGGTACGAAATCTCCATGCCTACTGAAACTTCTTGTTATGCATAAAAATTAAAAAATGAAATCTTTTCAATTTCTTTGGTTTTCATCATTTAGAAGACTTCAGTTATAGATCATGGCTGTAAATAATTACAGGATGCTGACAGTTCCATAATACTTGAATATGTACATTTGCTATTTCAGTCAAGAAAACGTCCAAAAAAGGTGAGTTATGCCATGACGCATGTAAAAACACTCAGCCAGCAATGTTAATTACTCGTGCATGTTTGTCAAAGTTTATAATTGCTTATAAGAAGTGAGTCCAAAGAAATTTGTGATTTAAAGTAGAAAAAAGTTCCATCATACAAAATGTGAATAAAAATAGAGTTTGACCGACATAATAAGCAATTATTTTATAAGATTTGACAAACATGAACTTTGACTTGGTTTATCCTATTGGCGTGTGCATATGACTCCCTATTATTGAATGAAAATTTCATTTCTTCTTCTTTTTTTTTTCTTTTTTTTTTTTTAAAAATATAATTGCAAGTCGAACAAGGATGTGATGACTGATTCAACTTCGAACATCGAGTTAGCCTTGAATATTGAGAGTATATACAAAGAAATTTGTGATTTAAAGTAGAAAAAAGTTCCGTCATACAAAATGTGAATAAAAATAGAGTTCGACCGACATAATAAGCAATTATTTTATAAGATTTGACAAACATGAACTTTGACTTGCTTTATCCTATTGGCGTGTGCATATGACTCCCTATTATTGAATGAAAATTTCATTTCTTCTTCTTTTTTTTTTCTTTTTTTAAAAAAAAAATATAATTGCAAGTCGAACAAGGATGTGATGACTGATTCAACTTCGAACATCGAGTTAGCCTTGAATATTGAGAGTATATAGAATCAAGCGTGGATTTAAGGCCTGGCTGGCCCTGGCGAGCCAGACCCAATTCATTTTTCCAAAAATATTTTTTATAATATAAAAATAAAAATTTATGTGGAATTTTTTCCTTTTCACATATTAGCTTAGCATGAAAGAATTTTTGGTCCAATCCTGACTTCATCCTTGTATAGAATATAAGAGTATTTAAATGTAGTACAGTATTTTTGTGCATGAGTATATATTATTAGAGAGAGGATGTCACACTAGCAGAGCCTATCAGACTTTGTATAGGCACCTCACAATGAGGTGGATTAGCAATTTTTATTACATGAGGGTCCCACGTGGTGCCCATTTCATTGTGAGTACCTGTACAGAGCTTGATAAAATCAGTCTAGCAGACCAGCATTTTTGTTATTAGAGAGATCTTTCAACGAATGACATTTCATAGGTATTTTAGAGAGACAAGAGGGTTATAGGCACGAGATTGAGCCATCACCCAATTGCTACAAAACACAGCCGTCCTACGTTCGTCAAAATTTCACAAGTGTACGAGCTCGTTGTACAAGTAATAATTATGATGAAAGAGTTATCGTCCAACAGGGAATACAGTCTAATTCTAGTGTATTTGATATAATTAAATTCGTATCAATAACCAAAAGTTAATTTTTGTTTGAAAAACTAATTAAGTTCTGTAACTAAAAATTGTAAAATTAACGAGAATTTGTTTTAAAATTCAAATAAGTAAATGTATTGGATTTTCGACGCCACTGATCAATTCTTAATTGTAATTCTCAACTCGTGATATTTATCTCAACTCATGCAATTGTAACGATCGATAATTTCACTTTTATTTATTATTCTTTTCTAATATATAATAAACCTATGATTATCATGAGACGATCATATTCCTAGTTCAAATTTCTATGACAAACACGCATTGACATGTAGGATTATTACACATGATTGCACACGCCACAAATATTATTCCTAACATTCATTGTCCATGTGTTCCAATAACAGTGTTCTACTTACCGTGAGTTTTCCAACATAACGAATAAGCAAATTATTGTCCTAATGATGCGCAAATATTAAAACAATAGAAATATGCATATTAGTGGAATCATAATGCAAAAATTAAGATAAAAACACAAGGTTTTGAATTAAAAGCTAAGGATCAATTAGTTTTGTCATCCATCCAATAAAAAGAAATTTAGCCTTGCATAGTGATGTAAGAAATACACGAAAAATAAAAGAAAGTTATCACCCAAATCATTAAGATATGAAGATAATCTAGATTTCTTCAATTTATGCCTTCAACTTCGGATCTAAGGGATGAAATCTTAGTTCTTCAATGTATTTCTCTCTATTTCTCCTCAAAGTCGGCTTGCAAGATGAAAAATCCTAGCTTTGGACGAGCTCTCCTATTTATATGGTCCCCAAAAGACTCCATACCAAAATAAAGTAAGGAAACCCGAATTTTTTTCCATTTAGCCTTGGGGCGCTCACCTAGTGTATTTAGGGTGCGTGCCTTAGTGATTTGGGGTGTCTCAAGCACCCCGTTTTGGCCTTGAGGCATACCCCTTGGGTTGTTTTTGGGGCCAAATTTGTAACTTGATCCCTGAACTTTCTCCAATGTCTTTTTTAGTCTTTCTTCACTCTATTCTTGTACCATTTGTCTATTCTTCATTCTAATGGAGTTCTTGCGTCTCGAATATTCATTTTTCATTTGTGGTTAGCATTTGAATTGTTGCATTTTAGTCCTCCAACTTATATTTGATGCAAAGTAGCCCTTTTTCTCGCTTATTCTCCTTTTATCCACATCTTTCATCGATTGTTACCTACAAACAATATATACATAGGATTAAGCCTTGTTTCATCCAATTTCTCGACAAATGCTCAATTTTAAAGGCCTAAATAAGTATATAAAATACACTTATCATCCTACTTTTTGATAAATCGTGTCTTGTCATGGGATTCTTGGAGATGCCATTTTGCAATAGAGTAAACATTGTTTAGAGCTAGTGAACATGGCTAATTGTCTTCAACACGACATAGACACAGTTTGGCTCGACAACAATCAAGTTAGGCCAAAACGTCCATATAAGCAATCTCGTAATCACATCATTAGTGCAATCAATAACCTTGTCTCGACTATCTAACATGTATGTCTAGATTACTCGGTCCCTTATTTTTCATGCTACTACATATATGGTATTTTAAGTTATAACACTACTCAAAACGAAAATGTCAAAAGCTTACACAGTCAGTTAACATATTGAACACTATCCCCTGTGCTCCTGTTACTTTTCAACCACAAAGTCAGTTAATTTTTAAAGTTGGACATCATAATCTTAATAGATTAGAGGGAGAAAGTTCAAAAGAGTAACTCGGGATCATAGTAGGTGCAATATTTGCTTCTAACATTGCGAAACTCAATGCAATGCACTTCGAGTCTCCCAACCAAATGGAAATACTAGAGCTGGTGTTTGCCTTTGAAAATCCTTCACTGAACCTCTCAGGGTTGAATGCATCACCGTCCCATATTTTGCAGTTATGGTATTCTCAGTCGAAATCTCATTTTCCAATCGAAGTTCGTACTCAATATCACACAAGCAAAGCTGCGGTTGTCTCCAACCCTTCAAAGTAGGAAAAGCTTCACTCTTCGATGAATTCCTTTTTAAAACTTTCTCCCACATCGTTGAATTTCCCTTATTATTTATTTTTACCGTGGAAAAAATTAATAATTAATTGGTAGTCATTTATTTGAGTTGGACTCATTAGCATAAATATAGGAGAATGTTAGGGCATGATGTTGCATTCCTTTGTTATATAGTTGTATTAGCCCCTATTTGGCCTCTATTAAATTTTAATTTATTTTTCTCTTTCTACCGTACATTCTCTTAATAAAATAATATTACACATAAATTCAAAAATTAAGATTTGTTGGAATTCTAATCGTCAGCAAATAGATTTGTCCTTTTTTCTTTTTCTTTCCTTTTTTTTTCTTTTTTCTTTTTTTTTGCCCTTTTTTGCCCCACTATATCTTAGACTGTTTCAGCTTGTTTTCAGGTTAGTTCAACCTATTTCCATAACATTTCAGCCTATTATCAAGCTGTTTCATCAAATTCCCAGTCAAGTGCAGATGATTTTCAAGCTCGGACAGTTCACTAGGTTGTGTGGATGTGATATGGAAGGTGATGTTCATGATTTAATGTGAATTTCTGAATTGCAACAAAGAAATCTGGCGAACTTCGGTTTATCTCCAATTACAATTTATGCAACAAGTTCTTAAAATTCACCTAACTAGCACCGATATTTCATTGTTCTTGTTTGTCTTCTAAAATCAAGTTGTGATCTCCATCCTTAGGGAGAAATGTTGTGTGTGTGCGCGCGCGCGCGTACATGGTTTCAACGGGAGTTTGGTCTTTTCAAGAAAAAGCCTATTTTTTTTATATTTTTTTTATATTTTTTATTTTTCATTGCGTTGGTTTACCAAAGGTTAGTAATATTAATTTCTGTACTCTAAATCAATTTCTAAATAAAAAATCTATACATCAGAATGCATGTTAGTTATGGCACACTAAATAACACTAAACAATATTAAGAAAGGAGAAGAAATTAAATTCCTATATGTTGTATTGTCTGGAGCATAAGACTCTTCCAATAACTATCATTTATTCAAATAGAAACTCCCATATCTTTAGTCCAGAATAGAATTAAATTTAAATACTTAAAAATTTCATTTATATTTTGTATCTTAATCTAGTTATAATAAAACCAATACTGTGTTACTATTTTTTATTTCTGTTGTATCCTTCAAGTGATGGAAATTTAAAAACCATGTGAAAAATATGACACGCGAAATTTAGGGCCGATACATGTCTTATAGAGTTCGATGAGTGTCGATGACCGACATGATACAACATATGTCACGACATTATTAGGAGTCTATGCTTCATAGCCCAATATAGTGTATAGAGAGAGATAAGTCTTACTAGAAGCCATTGAAATTTTAACTATTATAAACTTAGAAATCATAAGAAATAGGGGGCTATGCAAATGACTGTATTACATGCTTGATACGCTTGATCATATTCGTGACTTGTGCTGGCTATATCCTGTGTAGAATTAGGTGAGCCCCGTGCTGAGGTTGAAGAGTTAAAATCGAGTGAGGAGCATGAGTATAGGATGGTGAGAGCCCAAAAGAGAAGCGTTGTAGAATCATGGCCATCGCCATTTTTGCCTCTATCATGGCGAAAGTTTGTCCAATACATATTCGAGGTCCCCACCCAAATGGGAAATATGAACCTTGTTTCTTCTGTGCCTTTGATATTCCTTCACTAAATCTCTCTGGTTTGAACTCCATTGCGTCCTCTCCCCAAATTTCGCGGTCATGATGTAATAAGACTGTTTGCAGTGAAATGTGAGTCCCGGCCGGGAGCAATAGTTTCCCCAGTCTCGTTTCTTCATGAACTATACGACTAAGAGTAACTAGTGGTGGATACAATCTCAGGACCTCATGTAAAACCATGGTAACCTGTGAAGAAGATCTCGTAAGAGTTATAAACAGGTACAAGGAAAGTCACATATCTTCATTTGGCTTAGCTAAGTTAAAAAATTATACACACTCATATACTATGCCACGGATCAGCAAGTTTTAACCGATTAATTCATCTATTCATTTTTCGAGAGCGTAATCGGCTATAAAGAGTGTTTCCATCATAGTAATGAAAATTACTTACAATTTTCAAGTGATTTAACCCATCGAAATCAGGCTTTTTGCTACCAAATACGTGCAAAACCTCTTCTCTAGCACGTATCTGCCAATCTGAATGTGTACTCAATAAAACCAATGTCCAGACAAGCAACGTAGAAGTGGTCTCCTGACCAGCTAAATAGAACAGCTTGCATTCTTCGACAACTTCGTCTATGCTCATTCCAGAACTCTTGTTTCCGTGTTGTTCGATTTCTTTGAAATTGGATTCCAACAATATGCCTAATAAGTCATCATTATGTGTTTCCCCTGACTTCATTGCCTCCACCCGTCTATCGATTATATCCCTAATTGATGCTTGAATGTCTTTTTCATTTTTCTTCATTCTTTTGTTCATCTTAGTCGGCACAAACCTGTACACAAGGAATATCTCTTCATTCTTTTGTTCTTCTGACTAATCATCTTTGGGAGAAAAAATGATGAGTCGAAATTATGTATTAATTTCATAAGGTAGAAACATATTATGTTACCTCCATCCAGGAATATAGATCGACCGAACAGCCTTGAGGAGGTGTTCAGCCTGTTCTCTCTGAAGTTCAAATATCCTTCTTCCTTCTTGGTAGCTACTACCAAATGACGTTCTTGATATTGCATCACTAGATAACTTTTGTAGATAAGGCCACACGTCCAATTCGCGTGATTCTCCAGGAGACAGACTATGTTCCCATTTGCCCAAAATCTCGCCACAGCTCAAATAAAAAGCTGGCATCATAAGCTGAAGAAAGCATGGGCGACAAGCAATATCATCAGAAATAAGTTGTGGATAACATTTAAGTACTTTGTACAAGATAGCAAAAACCTTTAACTTCTCAAAATGGAAAGCAGGGTTGATGATTTTTCTGTGCTTGGTCCACTTATCTCCGTCATAGGTCGCCACTCCTTGTGAAATCATCTTGGCCAGTGGATTCATGATTTGTGGCTTCTGGAATATATAATTCTTAGTTAGGACCTCCTTTGCGAGCTCTGGTTCCGTAATTATAACTGATGGTCTTGGTCCAAGCCATATGAAGGAGTTGGTACCTGCATGTTACGGCAACAAGAATAAAATTAAATCAAAATTTTCAAAAGAGATAGCATATTTAGGAAAAATGGTACGAGACTGTCACAAAAGAAATTGATCTCTACCTACGGATTTAGATAAGAGAAGTGAATGATAAGTAGATGTAAAGGAGGAGATAAATCAAGAAGTAAAAGAAGCTCTGCGCTGCCCCCAGAAAACTATCAAAGTTAAAAGGTCTTTTTACCGCTTGATACAATCCGTCAAAGGCCTTAGCCAAGTCGGAAACCAACTTATTCGAACATGTTGTGGGTAAAAAACAATATTACAATACCGTTTGAATAAGTTTGTAGCAAATTGTGTTATAGAATTTCCAGTCATGCTAGAAGTTCAACTAGGCTAAACTAGTTTCTCCTAGGGTTGGACAAAACTCCCGAATCAAACCAACTACATTGAACTCGAACCAAACTGAATTGAGCAGTTCTTATTAAATTAAATACCCTAACAGGTATCAGAACCAACGGTTTTGGTTCGATTCTCTGTTTTAGATTAAGAACCGAATAAGAACTGAATCTCTCTAATTTTTTAAATTAATTTATTTTAAATAAATCAAATTATTATTTTTAAATAAATTTGCTAACTAGTTAATTTAACTCAAATTCAAAAATATGATTTTTCCTATATCTAATTTTCAATTAAAGTCAACTTAATCAAACTGACATAAATTTTACTCAAATCTATTATTTTATCATAGTGCCGTTTTCATCGTTTTGGAAAAATTGAATTGAATCTCGACAACACCTCTCTTAATTATTGAGAGCTCGCTATCTTTTTTTTTTTTTTTTTGCTATAACTTTAACAAACAAATTTATGAAGAACTCTGTAAAGAGATACACAAAAGGCACATAAGATTAAATTACGTTATTTTGTAAGAATTATGTTCTCATTTGAGCCCCATTATTTATCATTACATTAAATTAAATTTTTCTCTCCTACTTTTAACTACATAATTTTCAATAAAATAATATTACACGTAAATCAAAAAAATTTCAATTACTCATTTTTCAAAAAAAATACTATTCATCTCATTATAATATACAAATAATGGGACTCAAATGGAGGCTAAGATTGAACAGATCATTAGCTAAATTAATGTAGCTTTGTAAATATTAAAAAAAATTATTTATAGAACGAGACCCGAAAATTGAATGAAACTAAATCGAACCAAATTGAATTGAATGGAGCCAAACCCGACCAGCTCCATGGTGAAATTTGGACCCAACGTTTTTCACTTACTAAATACCCGAAAGTTTGAAGTCCAATTCGATTCTCATTAGAACTGGATCGGATTGTGTCAACCCTATTTTCTCCTCTACTTTCTTTTCTCTAAAATAACAAGAACTAAAATTTAATAAAATATACCATATTCCTGCAGTGTCTTGAGGTATAAGGGTATGATTCTTGGCTTGATATCATCTGAGATATTGATTGGCTTTGATTTGGCCTTGTGGACCGTACTCATCAAATCTTTCAGATCGCCATAAAGGAATCGATAGGAGTTTCCGTTCAAACCTTGTCGTCGCAGGCATTTTTCCACCTTCATAGGCCTAAACCAGATCCAGTTTAGAATCCTCAATGTGTATAACAGCAAAACAGAAGCACAACACATATAAATTGTGCAGTACAGAACCTCCATGTCCACCTAAAATCACTGCTCTAGCACAAGTCTCCCTATACGCCTGTGTACATGAATATATAGAGGTATTAAAGAGGAAACTGTGGTGAAAAGTCACTTTGCATATGCATACTTGTCTTCTAACTTTCTAGAAAAATAGTGAAATGTCTCTACTATAGCCCCCACCATAAAAAATAAGTGAAGAGTTGATTGACAGAAAAATAGGTAATGGGATTTTCAACTTTTTGACTTCCAACCCATCTAGCAATTTTGTCAATGTTTAAACCTGAAATAGTCATTTACGTGCTAAATTGAAATGGTGAAACGTATTTCTCAGGTCGTGTCAAGGAAATTAATTGAATTTTCCATTTTAATATTTTGTTACAATCCCTCAATCTCAAACTACCAAATTCCGTTAAAAATATGCATCAAATACGTATTACTAAATTCATGTATGTTTTGAACCATGTCATTCCTCATAATTGTTTATACATAGTAGGTCCCAAAAAATGTATAATTTAAAGTAGATAACGTAGTGAATTTCATGAAATGTGTGAAAAAATAGAAGTTAACTAGATTATAAGTAATTATAAATTTTGACAAACAACCTACAAGTATTTTTGATAAACTCACAAAGTTGGCAAAGATTACAGATTCATTTAGACGGCCACATCTTCATCATTGTAGACAATAACCGTCAACTTTACAATAAAAGACACTAGTGATTTTGTATAACTAAGTTCTCGCCCCCATTTTTTGAAGTGAAAATTGGTGAAATTGTATTTTTTGAAAAATAAGTAATTAAAAAGAAAGAAAAAATTTTCGATTTACGTGTAATATTATTTTATGAAAGATTGTATGATTAAAAATAAAATAAAATTTAATAAGAGGCTAAGACAGTAGTCTGACAGCAATTTTGTGTAGATTTATTTTTTCAGACGTTGGACATGAAGGTGGGTTCCATGTGTGCAGTCATTCTTGACTCAACAATGAGCCAAAGTCAGAAATGCCCCTATTTGTGGTATAGAGAATTAAATGCGAAACGGTACATTGGTCTTTTTAATAGAATCTAGTCAATAATTGTTGCTCCTTTACTGACACTCCAGTGAATAATGGCCACAAATTTTATTAAAATAAATAACCATATTTAGCAACTATTTAGTTAGGATTAAAATCAGATTTTCAATATACTTTAATAAAAATAGATGAAATGTATTCGTGAAAAAAATATGGATCTTATATGATTAAAAAAAAAGTTTAATTCAACTAAAAAAGCTGATTAAAAGACATCTCAAGTCAACAATAAATTTTGATCATACATTTTATGAGATCTACAACTTTTCAACTATGCAATCCATCCATTTTTATCAAAATTTTCTAAAAAATTTATTTTTATCTAAATCAAATAGAGATGTAGCGTTTTTGTTCATGAGTACATCTTCTAAGAGATATTCACTAATATCTTTTAATGATTGTCTTTCTAATTTGATAACTTTTTAACCTCGATCTTTCATTAACTAGTGGATTCAACTATCTTGACAGATCCCATCCAAAACCCATTTAAACGAGCATGAAAAGACAAGATTTCCCTTACAATTTATAAAAATAGACAATCAATAGCGCACCGCATGGTTATAGCTACTAGCGACAGTCCACCTTTGCACTAACATTTACATAAAGATGGTAAGTGGTGAGGAGTTGTATGGGACCATCAATCAACCTCTTCATTTTGAAAGAATTTCCATGGGTTTCATCAGGTGGCAATGGACAAAAGAGACTTTCGAGCCTTCAAATGTAGTGCACATCAGATGTTGTTAGCCAATCCCTAAGGAGAGGATCCCAAAAATAAGAAATTGAAGTTAGCAAAGTGATTAGTATGCGAAGATCATCGTTATAAAAGAATGAATGAAAAATAGATTTTTTTTTCCTTATTTTTACTATGATTAGTATGCGAAGATCATCGTTATAAGTGCAATCTTGTCTTTTTAATGCACTTTTAAAAAGGTTGAACTCCAAACTCGAGGGTCTCCACCGCCTTGTCCTTGAAACATTTTGAGGGAGGTAAATTGTGGGATGTGCCCTAGCAGGCCAGAGAATAAGAGCTTGCCAGTACACTAATACCCACAAAGAGTCCAATTTCATATCTCATGAATCGAACTCTCACACTACGGCTGCCAACAAGGCTAAGACTACCTCACTCCTATCTTTTGCACCACTAAGTTTGCCGCGATGGCCTTTTTTTAATGCGCTTTTAACTAGGTTTTGTAGAGGATTGTTATATTGTTGCCATTATTTTCTTTCGAAAATTATATTCAGGCCATAATTTCTTTTAATTGCACCTTATTTTAATTATAATGAAGACCCTCAGCTTTTGTTCATTTTCTCACTTTTATCCGTAACTTTGTTCGTCGTATCTTTATCCTCAACACTTTAATAAGGGTTAATTTCACAAACGGTCAATGAACTTATGCAAAAATTACAAAACGATCACTGAAGTTTAAAAACTTGCAGAAACGGTCATTGAAGTTTAAAAACTTTCAGAAACAGTCATTGAAATTTAAAAACTTGCTGAAATAGTCATTGAAGTTTAACAATTTTTCAGTTTTTGGGATACCTTTGCGGCAACTTTTCGACCATCGATACTGTCGAATTTTGATACTGTTGGAAAGTCACAATGTCCTCTTCAATTACTACCCGAAATCTCCCCGTAACTCAAAGGGATTTGAGATTTTCAGATTTTTTGGATGATTTTTGTGGAGATTTTTGGACAATTTTCGACCTCCAAGATCGTCAGATTTTGATACCGTTGGAGAGCCTACAATGTCCTCTTCAATTAACATCCAAAATCTCCCCCAAATTCCAAAGGATTCGGCCGAAATAAACTCACAAAGTCGGCTACCCAAAAAGGTAAAAATCTGCCCAGATTGGGGATGCATACCTGCCAAATCCTTTGGACTTATGGGAAAATTTTGTGTGGAAATTGAAGAGAAAATCGTGGGCTTTCCAACGGTATCAAAATCTGGCCGTCTTCGTGGTTGGAAGTTGTTGGAAAGTTGTCACAAAATTCTCCTAGAAAACTAAAAAAATATGTCCAAATTTTCGCATTTCAGGTAGCCGAATTTGTAGGTTTATTCAGGCCAAATCCTTTAGAGTTTGGGAGGAGATTTTGGATGATAATTGAAGAGAACATTGTGAGCTTTCCAACGATATCAAAATTTGACGGTCTTGGTGGTCTAAAATCGTCGAAAAATCGTCTTAAAAGTCGCCTAAAATATCTGAAAATCTAGTTTTCGGGCGACTTTTGCTAGGATTTTTCGATCAAATCCCTTGGAGTTACGGGGATATTTTGGGTTGTAATTGAAGAGGAAATTGTGAATTTTTGAACGATATCAAAATTCGACGGTATCGATGGTCGGAAGTGGTTGAAAAGTTACTGCAGAAGTAACACAAAAAATTGAAAAAAATATTTTTAAACTCTAGTGACCATTTCTAAAAGTTTTTAAACTTCAGTGATCGTTTCTGAAAGCGCCCTGAAAAGTAAGTGACTGTTACTAAAAGTTTTAAACTTCAGTGACAATTTTGTAATTTTCACGTAAGTTCAGTGATCGTTTGAAAAATTAGCCCCTTTAATAATTAGCACGTTTAATCTTTGAGAATGATCAAAGGTCTACTAAGGGAAGTTAAATGGCTTATTTGTCCCTCGGATTATTATGTAAAAAAGATAAATAATAAAACAAAAATTCGGCAAAATATTTTCACATACTAACAAAATATTTGGTTAAAATTGTCATAAGAGGCAAATGAGCTAATTAATTGAAAATTAATAATAAGATAGGAACTGGAAAAAAAAAAGGCAATAGAAATGAGAAAACGAGCAAAAGTTGAGGAGCTTTATTGCAATAAAATCTATGGTTGAACTAAGATACGGATATGGGAATGAAAAAAGTTCATACTCTGTTAGGGTTGGCAATGGGCCGAGCCGACCTTAATGCCACGAGCTCAGCTCGTGCTCGTGACGAGCCGAGCTCAGCTCGTGGGCTCGCCTATTTTTTTTTTTTTTTTACAATAAAGAATAGAGTTTTAAAATAAAATGTGTTAAAAAATAAAAAGTGTTAAAAAATACAAATAATTTAACGAAAACAAGTTTTTATTTTTTTTGTTTATATCATATTGTAATTTGTAATACTTTTTATAAAGTATAAAATATTTATTTAATGAAAACGAATTATTTTTTGAAATACATTTACAAAAAATATATATTTTTGATTTCTTTTTAAAGTTAATAAAGAATAGAGTTTTAAAAATAGAAAGTGTTAAAAAATACAAATAATTTAACGAAAACAAGTTTTTATTTTTTTTTATTTATATCATATTGTAATTTGTAATACTTTTTATAAATTATAAAATATTTATATAATGAAAACGAATTATTTTTTGAAATACATTTACAAAAAATATTTCTTTTTTATTTCTTTTTAAAGTTAATAAAATATAAACCATCCTCCTTTATCCGGGTTTGGGACCTGCTACATCAATTTTAAGTAGGCGGAGTTAAAAATTGTACACAAACAACTTGTTGTAACGTGTGCAATTTTTTAAAGAAAATTAAATTTAACGATTAAAATTAAATAAAATAACATTGACAGTTCTTCCCAATATTTTTTAAACTTTAATTCCATAACAATTAAAATTTCACTAAAAGTAGGATCATTTTTATATTTATGGAATATTCTTGCAATTATATAAAGGCGTTCAAACACCATACAACTTGTGGGATAATAAACGTCGGATAAAATCTTTGTGGTCTCATAAAAAGATGTCAAAAATCATTTAACTTTCAAAACTAAAATCCAATCGGATCCATTTAACATATCATCGTTATCACTTCTAACATGTCTATTGTTATAAAAGTCAGTTATTAAATTTTCGAAACCTTCACATGATTTTAATAGCAAGTATGTAAAGTTCCATCTATGACATACGTCGCTAACAAATGTTTTAGTAGTCATCACCCCTAGTTCAGCACAAAAATTTTCAAATGCTTGTTTTCTACTAGGAGAGATTGTAATATATACTAATGCATTCCTAATCCTTTGAAATTCATCATTTATATATTTTAAATCATCTTGTACAATTTAATTCAAGATATGATACACACAACGAAAATGAAACAAATACCCACCAAAATCAGGTTGAAGTGTCCTACACAATTTATCGACGACTACCTTATTAACACTAGCATTGTAAAAAGTAAAAGATCGAATTTTAGTCTCACAATGATATTCTCTAACAATACTGATAATAGCATTATATATATTATTAGCATTGTGAGAAAATTCAATAATTCTAAAAGCAATAATTTTCTTATGCATGCACTAAAGTGGATCTATATAATGTGCAGTTGCAGCTATATATGTTCTTTTATTAACCCCTTCCCATATATCAGAAGTTAAGGATATAACACCCCCAAATTGTTGCAAATCCATAATTAATTGTTGTTTTGAATTATTGAAATAATTTATTGTATCGGCACGAAAATTGTTTCGACTTACCCCAATGTACCTCGGTTGTAGATATTCTTTCACGAACGAGACGAAGTGTTGGTTGTCTGCAATAGTCAGAGGTAACTCAGTGGCGGCAACAAATTTCACCATTCCGGTTCGAGTATCATCCTCCGAATACACCCACGTGGATAGGGGTGAAGTTGTAGAACTGGCGCCTGGATCGCCAAATTGTAATTGTGTTTGACTAGTTGGAAGAAGTCCATGTCTGGCTGCACATGATTTGTAGTGGCGGTTGATATGAGGGGTACCAATTCCTTTTTGTCATGCCAATCTTTGTTGATAGTATTTACATACTGCTTTAGATTCTGCAAGGCCATCAACGACTTTTCCCGTTGAAATCAACTTAAAGCGATCCCAACATTTTGCTTGTTTTTTGGCCTTTCGCTTTCCCCTCGCATCTGGGATATTTAATTGTTGATCTTCATCTCTATATTCCGCTTCGGGAACGTTAATATCATCCAAATCAATTGGAGTGTTGCTTCCCTGACCGTGAATGTGAACATTTTCAGGTATCAGTATGTTATTTAGACCGACAAATTCATTTGAAAATTGACTTTGCGGCGTCTTAGGCGATTCTCCATGATGTGGCAGTGACTCACATTCTGTATCGAACAAGCTCTCAACAAATGAACGTTGATCCATTTCTGTGATTGTTTATGATGAAATCTTGACTAGATGAATATAAATGTAGTGAGACTGTGAGAATTGAGAATTAGATGAATTGAAATCGTAACTAATAAACTGTAAAAATTGAATTGATATTGTATATTTTGGAGTACAAGAGAGTAAAAACTCGATAATTGATATAATAAAAGAAAGTTGAGAGGATTGTAATCTTGGAAGAGCAATTAATATGAAAAAAATCTTTGGGGAAAGGAGGTATTTATAGTAAAAAAGGGGGGGTCAGGGGAAATAAAATAAAATTCAGTGACCATTCTGGTCAAATTCAGTGACCAGAACGGTCACTGAAAAGTGACCTTGTGACCATTTTGGTCACTGGCTCGACGAGCCACGAGCCCAGCTCGTCTAACTGGTGAGCCCGCTCAGCTCGTGCTCGCGCTCGTGATTTCACGAGCCCGAGCCGCCCACGATCCTTTTTTTACGAGTCGAGCGGGAGCGGTTCGGTTCAATTGACATACCTATACTCTGTAGATAGTATAGGTTAGGTCTTAATATAGTACAGTTAATAAAAATTGATGTGAATATAATTAATCTTTCTTTTGTTACATCAATTTCAATTGCGCTAAAGGTCGCCAACCTTTTCTCATTGTTGCTCTTATATTCTCATTTTCAACATTCAATGAATTAGTACATTTGGTCGATAATAATGATTTTCATTTAAAAAAAAAAGCATGTTAAGAAGACATAAAAAAAAATATTTACCTTTCAAATTTTTAAATAAACAAATGTACAACAAATACAAAAATGAGACAAAATATTTTGTCATCATTTCAAAACACATGATATAATATTTGAACATAAACCATCATCAAAAACCAATTATAGTAATTAAATAAAATTTACTAAATAAGAATGTGACAAAGAAATAAAAAGATAAATTTGACAATAAATAAATATTAAAGACCTTATGCAATTAAACTGCGATGCACCGAAATTGTATTTATAATTAATTAATGATTAAGGTGACAAATCACACATTAAAAAATTAATTAGCACCGTTTTATACAATATATTTTTCATGAAAAATGGAAATCCTTTTCCATTTCCTACTTTTTTGGATATTTGATACACCATTTTTTTCAGGCAATTGTTTTCCATGAATAGTGCTCACATGGGTGTCAATTCCAGTTTTTTAGGGAAAATGAATTCCCATGGAGTATGGTGGTTTTTCAAATTCTAGCTTTTTTTCATTTTTTTTCTTTTTGGGAAATGGAAGCAAATTCTAAGAGTTATTGTAAAAAAAAAAATTCCTTCAATTAACAATTTTCATGTAAAATAAAGCCAAATGAACATCAAAACATAAATGATTTTCTTGATTATTATTATTATTATTATTATTATTATTCTTTTGTTTTGGAATGGAAACAAATTTTTTTCTCCAATACCAGTAAATTTTATCCCTTTAATTAACAATTTTCATGTAAAATAAAGTCAAACGAAGACTAAAAAATACTTTTATTTCAACATTTTTCACGTGAAAAATTATACCAATCAAATTGCCAGGAAAATAATTTCTAGGCAATTCAATTTCCTGAAATTTATTTTCAATTCCATCTTTGTAATCAAACGAAACCTTAGTTACGAAACATGTAAAATTTATCATTTTATGATGATAATACAAAATAATACTGGTGGTTCCGAATAGTCTTGCTTTTTTAGTCAAAATAAGTGATCTAAGCTATGACGCACGTAAACTTAGCCACCAAGTGTGGGAAATGTCAGTACTATTAGTTTGGCCAAAACCTCACCTCGTCCCGTCCCACGTCCCGTGGGCCCGCCCCCACCTTAGATAGCACAGGGTGGGGACGGGACAACTTTTTGCCCCGTTTAATTATTTTTTATTTTATTATTATTATTATTATTATTTTTTACATTTTGAAAGTTTCGAATTATGTTATTATTAGAGAATAAAATACAATTTCAAAATGAGTTTTTAACGGATGAATTGTCTACAAATAAAATTATTTTTATTTTTTTCATGGGCCGGTTTCGTGACGGGGCATCCTCACCCCGCCCCTCGACAGGGCGCCCCTCCCCACCCCGCCCCACCAACCCGTTCGAGGTGGGTTTTTTTGCCCCATTCGGGACGGGGCCCCGTCAGGGCAGGGCGGGGCGAGGCGGGGCGGGTCACGTACTCTTAAATAAATTTCCGACTGCCTAATTCTTCTTGTATATGGCCTCTCTCTTCTTCATATGGCTTCCTATTTTAGATTCAAACCTTCATTTTCCATCTTGAAGAAATTTTGGAAGTAGAGGTAATTGGAAGAGACATTTTATTTAAAAATTCAATACATAGGCTTGTTTGGGAAGTATATGTGAATAAGGGTAAATTGTTGTGATCATCTTAAATATTTATTGTTATTTGTACTTCTATCTCCGATCCTTTTCCATTCAAAAGAGACGTTAAAAGGGCATAAAAAGATGAAATTACTCTTATTTTAAGTAGAAAAATAATTAAATACGATTACAAATGTCTCATTTCTCATGCTAAAGCTTTAACAGTTCAGAAGGGATAAGTGTTCGCGAAGGAGACGAGATATTAAATCAACATGGTGGAAAGAAATGCACCCAAAATGCGCAACTTGCAAAGTGAGTTTCTAAAGCTCCACAATGGGGCCTTGTTTGTGTGTTGTCGTGCTAAGATAACCTAGCTGAGTTCGGCGTATCACGAAGATTTTATCTTTATATTGATTTCTATGTATTGGATCAAAAACAATTCTTGAATGAGGTCATGATACAATTGACATGAAATTCTGACTCATATATGATTTTGATGGGAATTTTTATTGGAAATAACCTTATTTTCTTGTCGTCGTATGAGTTCATCAAAGACTAGTAACAATAAATTCCTAATCTCTAGATCAGTTTATATAATCAAAATCTGTACATCTAAGTGCCACAAGTCTCACAGAAGTTTCTGCTCATGCAAAGACAAATTGCTTAATAGTAAGCTTAATAATTTCATATAGAAAAGTGAATCCCACATACTCTACTTAACATAGTAAAAATATACATACACATTAAAATTAACAATTGATAACCCCATCAGTATATTCTACAAACAGAAAGATCGGATACAATCGAAATTTCATATTATTTACCCGTAGGGGACTATGCAAATGACTAATATTATAAGCTAGATGAAGTCATGACTTGTCCAGGCTATATCCTGTGCAGAATTATGTGAGTTCCATGCTGAGGTTGAAGAGTTAAAATCATGTGAGGAGCGTGTGTATACAACGGTGAAAGCTCAAAAGAGAAGCGTTGCAGAATCATAGCCATTGCCATTTTTGCCTCTAACATGGCGAAGTTTTGTCCAACGCAAATCCGAGGTCCCCATCCAAATGGGAAATACAAGCCTGGTTTCTTTTGCGCCTTCGTCACTCCTTCACTAAATCTCTCCGGTTTGAACTCCATTGCGTCCTCTCCCCATACTTCGTGATCATGATGTAATAAGACTGTTGGTAATGAAACCTGTGTTCCAGCTGGGAGTAATAGTTCCCCCAATTTTGTATCTTTTTGAATCTGTCGAGAAAGCGCTGGTACTGGTGGATACAGTCTCATGACCTCGTACAAAATCATGGTAAGCTGTGATGAAGAACACGTAAGAAACACAGTTACAACCATTAATCTGCGAGTCTAAAAGTTTTCTAATGTATGTTACGCTTAATTTATAGTTGCTTACGATTTTCAAGTGATTTAACCCTTCAAAATGTGGTTTTTTACTGCCAAATACTTGCAAGACCTCTTTTCTAGCCCTCGTCTGCCAGTCTGAATTTGTACTCAATAGAACCAATGCCCAGACGAGCAAAACAGAAGTGGTCTCCTGTCCAGCAACATAGAAGAGCTTGCATTCTTCTACAACCTCGACTATGCTCATTCCAAAACTCTTGTTTCCGCGTTGTTCGATTTCTTGGAAATTGGACTCCAACAATATACCCAATAAGTCACCATTACGTGCTTCTCCCGCTTCCATTGCCTTCAGTCTTCTATCTATCATATCTCTAATTGATGCTTGAACTTCCTTTTCAATTTCCTTCATTCTTTTGTTCCTCTTGGTCGGAACAAACCTATGCACAGGGAATCATATTATTGGAACTGAGCAGATGAAAAATGGTTCATCTGACGACTCATCTTTGTGAAATCATGAGGGTTGCAAATTAAATTCGAACTTGAAAAGGTAGAAATTTCTTCACTTTTAGTAAGAAAAAACATATTTTTTACCTCCATCCTGGAAAATACATCGACTGCATAACCTTGATGGTGTGTTCGGTCTGTTCACTCTGAAGTTTGAATATCCTTCTTCCTTCTTGGTAGCTACTACCAAATGCCGTTCTTGATATTGCATCACCAGTTAAATTTTGTAAATCAGGCCACACATCCAACTCCATCGATCCTTGTGGAGATAGACTTTGTTCCCATTTGCTCAAAATCTCATCACAACTCAAGTGGAAAGCCGGCAGCATAAGCTGTAGGAAGAAGTAGCGAATAGCAATCTCAATATACAATAAATCTAACATTTAAAACAATTTCAAGTAAAGAGTTTCAAGCAGAAAAAACCTTCAACTTCTCTAGATGAAAAGCAGGATTGATGATTTTTCTGTGTTTAGCCCATTTCTCTGCCTCGCAGGTTAATACTCCTCGTGCAAGTAGCTTGCCCAGTGGATTCACAACTTTTGGCTTCTGATAGATGTAACTCTTCGATAGTGCCTCCTTTATGAGTTCAGGGTCCGTGATTATAACTGCTGGTCGTGGCCCGAGCCATATGAAGGAGTTGGTACCTGCAAGTCATGGCAACAAAGACATTCGAACGCGACTTTTGGTTTTCATTTACACTGAAAGTTGTTTAAAGGCATACCATATTCCTTCAATGCTTTGAGATAGAAAGGTATGATGGTTGGCTTGATATCATCTGAGAGATTGATTGGCTTGGATTTTGCTTTTTGGATCATCATTGAGATATCTTTGAGATCTCCATAGAGGAATCTGTAAGAATTTCCTTTAAGACCTTGCTGTCTCAGCCATTTTTCTTTCTTCTTTGGCTTAAACCAAACCAGGTTCACGATTCTCCCTGTGTATATCAGTAACACAGTAGCACAACACAACCCAATCGTGTAATACAGAATCTCCATGTCCACCAAAGATCACAGTTTCTATGAATGTAACTATTAAGAGGAAATTTTCTGTCGAAAAGTCCCATGCATATGGCGATATATTTATAAGAGGATATCGCGAAGAAACTTCTCGTTTAGAGATGGAAACCAAAATCATCTACACTATTGAATTTTTCTATTTTTTTTACCCATTCAACTAAACATTAAGAATGGAATCGGTTTGTCAAAGCTTATTTAAAAATCATTTTTCCTTGAATTCATTTTTAATCACATATTCTCCCAATAATATAATTTTACACATATATCCATAATTTTTTCTTACTTTTTAATCATATATTCTTCAAATGTGTATATATATATATATATATATATATAAAGAAATCTTAGTCGTCGTCTTCTAGTTCTAGGACAATACTGGTCTAAAAGCGCGTAAATTATCTTACTTTTCAAATGCTTTGACCCACAAATTCAGAAGATAATTTTAATAGGGCAAAGAGTTGCTTAACAAGAATTTCTGATTCCTAGTTGTGCAAATGGACTTTTCCACTTCAGTCAAAAGAAATCTTCAAAAGAGGTGACGCATGAAAATAACTTAACCAGCAAGTATTTTCCAAAGAGGGGCAACTTTTTCGACTTTAAAGCCGATCAAATTAGACGGTGGTCTTCCCGGAATACAGTTGCAGCGAAGGATGGTAGACGATAAATCCGAAGTTGATATCGAACAATATATCGTATTAAAATGATACAATACATTAACAAACACACCATTGAACACTGCAATTTTGTTTCTATGTACCTTATATTAAAACATGCAAGAAATGTACTTTTTCGGTAATCATAGTTTACGCAGAATTAACAGTGCGCCATATTGAGGTTGAAGTGTAATGACCGTATAAGGAGCATGAGCATAAGATGGTGAAAGCTCGAAAGAATAATCTTGTAAGACCATAGCTAGAGCAATCTTTGCTTCCAACATAGCAAAGCTCTGTCCAATGCATATACGAGGTCCCCAACCAAATGGAAAATATGAGAGCTGGCCATTTGTCGCCTTTGAAACTCCTTCACTGAACCTTTCCGGGTTGAATTCATTTGCATCATCACCCCATATTTTACAGTCGTGGTGCAATAGAAGTGCTGGCATTAAGAGCTGCACTCCTGCCGGTAGAAGCATCTTTCCTATTGGGGTTTCCTTGTGAATCATTCTTCTGAGCAAGATTGCAGGTGGGTATAGTCTCAGAACCTCGTGAAAAATCATCGTTACCTGTGAATAAACAATATCACTAGAGGCATAAGACAGTAAAGAAACAGTAAATGCATATTAGACGTTCAATATGTTCTCAAATTCTCAAGTTCTGCCCAACATTTTACAACCCACGGAGTTCTTAAAGAGCTAAGTTCCAGAGTTGTTCCCATGATAATAACGTGTGATACTAGTTCAGCAAGTCCACCTAAAAACTGCAACTTAAAGAACAAAAATATAAATGCACTTACGATTTTAAGGCGATTTAACTCATCAAAATCAGGTTTTCCACTTCCAAAAACTTGCAAGACCTCCTCCCGTGCACGGGTTTGCCAATCCAAGTGCTTACTCAATAAAATCAGTGTCCAGACAAGCAAGGATGCTGTTGTCTCTTGCCCAGCAAAGTAGAAAAGCTTGCACTCTTCAATAACCTCCCTTAAATTCATTCCGAACTTGCTCCCATATCGTTGGATTTCCTTTAAATTGGATTCTAACAATATGCCCAATAAGTCATCAGAACGAGCTTCCCCTGTCTCCATTGCCTTTATTCTTTTTTTAATTATACTCAGTACAGATGATTCCACTTCCTTTGTAATTTCCTTCATCCTTCTATTTATTTTTGTGGGCAAAAACCTATGCAAAACATACAAATAAGATTTCAAAACATCTTTATGCAGTAATTTACAGACTACAAAGGGACAAAAACGACGACAAAGTAATTGAACCTCCATCCTGGGATGTAAACTGAATTTCTTGCTAGCATGACAAGCTGCCCTTGTTCTTTTTGAAGTTCAAATATCTTTCTTCCTTCTTCGTAGCTACTGCCAAATGCAGTACGAGAAATTGCATCGCTTGTCAACATTTGAAGATAAGGCAACACATCTAATTCACTTGATCCTTCAGATGATACAATCTTCTCCCATTTGCTCAACATATCACTGCAACTTAAGTAAAACGACGGAAGCACATGCTACAGAAACAATAGAAATATGCATTACTCGGGTTTAATGTCAAAAACAAACATCATATTACATGCACACGAGCATTCATGTCTATTTCTTGAGAAAGGTCTCAACATTTGAGCTGTGAAAAACAATCTCCCCATAGCAAGATACGTTCTTCTCAATCCCAATAGCAGTAGGAGCTTTCTATACTAGGTAATCCCTGTGCTAACTTTCATGCTACTTTTGTTAAACCACCTCATCTAAAAAGTCCCATCGCCAACATTTATGACAATGTGCACATTCATATCTTGGATGAAAAATAAATCTTATGTGCACACTAAATAGCATTTTGGAGACGTAATTAAGAAAACAAGTTTCGCCCCTCTTTATTGAAGAAGTCACCACCGACTTTGAATTGTCTAGAATTTTCTGGGTTCATATTATGCTGAAAAATCTGGAGCACTTCATCTTTACATAACTGCCGACATACTGAAGAATATTCTAGAGACGCCTGCTGCTAGAATTTGAAGCATCGTCATACCAGAAAATTCTATCACTGACAATGGCACCTATAAATATAAGATGACTGTATGTATGTGCCTGTGATGAATTATAGAGACAGGATATACAAATGAGTGCATGAGTTACTGTGTGGAGAGAGAATGAATACGAGGAAGGTGATAAGTGGCAGAGAGAGACAGAAAGTGAGTGCAAGATTGTGAAAGTGGAGGTTGCATTATTTTGAGGAGTGATAAAGCATGTGATTCATATACATTAAATTTGTATAGAGTGCAAAATTGTCTTAATAAAATATTTTCTCTGTGGGTATTGTTGATTTTGGAAGAAAATCTCTCTCTCTCATTTCATAACATAAACGTGTGATACATATATATACATAGAGGGAATGTTCTCACAAGGAAATTATCCTATCAAAATATGCACCTACCATATATACGCCTAAATTGATGCATAATTCTATAACACTCCCCCATCAAATTGAAGCATACATATCAATCATGCCCAACTTGTTACAAATATAGTTTACTCGAGTTCCGGCTAAGGCCTTAGTGAATACATCATCTAATTGATCTCTTGTCTTGACATGCTTAGTCAAAATCAATCCTTGTTGTAGCTTTTCACGAACAAAATGACAATTTGCTTCTATATGCTTTGTTCTCTCATGAAATACTGGATTAGTGGCAATGTGAATAGTTGCTTGATTATCACACCACAACTTCATAGAGTGAGACGTATCAATGCCAATTTCTCTAAGTGGCGTAGCCACATAAGTTCACAAGTCACCTGTGCCATAGCCCATTATTCAAATTCTGCACTTGATGGAACTACAACACTCTGTTTCTTACTTTCCAAGAGACTATATTACCTCCAACGAAAACACAATATCCTGTAGTAGAGCACCTATCCACGGGAGAACCGGCCCAGTCAGCATTCGACAAACCCTCAACCCTACAACGGTCTCTATAAAGAATTCCACGTTCTGAACTTCCTTTAAGATACCTTAATATATGAGTTACGGCATTCCAATGTGAAGTTCTAGGAGATGATATAAATTGACTAACAATACTTACGGGAAATGCAATATCTGGCCGAGTAATTATAAGATAGTTCAGCTTTCCCTCTACCCTCCTGTACTTGTCTGCATCAACAAGCACATTTACATCTTCTGCTCCGAGTATCACATTTGGTATCATAGAGGCGTTACCAGGTTTGGCTTCAGCTAAACATGTCTCATCCAGTAGGTCCAGAGCATATTTCCTTTGAAATAGAAAATTTTCTTTACCACTTCGAGATATTTCTATCCCTAAGAAATATTTCAAAGGACCTAACTCCTTTGTTTGAAATCTTGTGCCTAGGAAAGCCTTTAGCATACTTATGCCATTGCTATCACTACCAGTAATCACAATATTATCAACATATACAACTAACAAAATACACCCAGCTGTAGACTGTTTAAAGAATACCGAGTGATCATATGCACTTCATTTCTGGCCATATTCAATCACAACCTCACTAAATTTCCCAAACCAGACACGGGGTGATTGTTTCAGACCATATAATGACTTTTGTAGTTTGCATACCTTCCCTGACTCCCCCTGAGCAACAAACCTTGGTGATTGCTCCATGTAAACTTCTTTATACAAATCTCCATCGAAAAATGCATTCTTAACATCCAGTTGGTAAAGTGGCCAATGATAGGTAGCAACAAGAGAAATGAACAATTGAACAGAAGCTAGCTTAGCAACAGGAGAGAAAGTCTCAGAATAATCCACACCATAAATTTGGGCATACCCCTTAGCAACCAAATGAGCCTTCAATCGAGCAACAGATCCATCAGGATTCATCTTGACTGTAAACACCCATTTGTACCCGATTGCATTTTTTTTGGGGGGGGGGGGGGGGGGGGGGGGGGGGTGGGGGA